GGAGTGCGCGTGCGCGATGAAAATGGCTGCAGCGAAGGGAGGCAACCGAACCTACGATTGGATCCAAAACCGGCCGGCTACGTGATATTTGGTTGTCTGTGTGCCGTGGTGACGTCGGCGAGCGGGCCCGATTTCCCCACTGGAGAGCCGTCTTTTCGAAGTCGATATTGGGGCGCGTGCCGTTCCGTTTGGGGCGACTCGACGATGTTGAGTTTCATTCATAAAAACCGAAAGAGTGCGCATCTCGTGCCTCAGTTGTGTTCGAACAACGCGGCGGAATAGTTGAAACTAAAAGCAAGCCAGCCAGCCAGCCAGCTAGCAACCAGTGAAGAAATCATATAGCAGCAGTCTCCGGTGAACATCAGCAAACATTAAATAGATATTCAACGCGAAATAAAATATATATATTGAACGTGTCGGAAAATCCCAAGAGCTAAATATTTTATTAAATCGTTTGTGCAGTGCGCAGTGCCAAAGAACAAAATCAAATAGAAAAAGTTATCAAATCGACAAAAAATTCGCGATATTTGCATACAAAACTGAAACTTGCACACTAAAGTAAAAGTGAAAGGATATTCCAGCAGGCATGAATGAAAGCCTCCGGCCACAAAAGATGCTTACACGAGCGGTGCTTTATTGATTTTTGCCTCGCAGTGAGAACGAGATACTTTCGTGCAATCCACTACAGTGAAATTTAACGCAATCTAAGTCAGCCAGAGACACGGCCGAGAAGGCAAGAAAGCCTAAAGGAAAATCCCTTTGAATTCTTCTGCAAGTGCCATTGCGATCCAGGTGGGTGTTGAACGGTGATAAAAAAAAATTTAGTCCTCTTGTGGCGAGTGGTTCTAGTTTTATTTATACTTGTAATAAATTAAAAATTTTCTATGTGAATTTGCTTGAGTTATTGGCAAGAACATTTAATTTATAAGATGGCCAAGAGGGCATACAATATTTTGATGCTGATTTATGTGTTCTGTGACCAATTGGAAACTTGTCGTTTGCCAAGTGAAAATCCGATTGAAAAATTAGGTGACATGTTTATAGAAAAAGTATATTTTTCTATTCAAGAATTTGATTTAGATTTTTTTTCTGGAAAATAAAATGATTTCTTTTGTGAATATAAACTCTGTGGTCTGCCCTCTTCGTTCTGTGGATCTCGGTTTATTTTCACAGATTTTGTTGAAAGATATAAAAATTCATTTAACGCTTAATAAAAATTTCTGCACGTTATTTAGATAGCACCTGAGACCAGACAGCCAAACGGCCAACACAAAATTTACGACTGCAACTATGTATCTGGGCATTTATGCATCTGCATCCGTATCTAAATCTGAATCTGAGCACAAGTGTAACTGCATTAGCTATTTGCAGTTTTTGTAATTAAATTATTGTCATACATTTAGCGCTCAATTAAAAGAGCAATCTGCTTATTTCAGATGTTTACAATTTAATGGCAAATTTTTGGTCCGTCTGCATTCCGTGCATTTACGTTCCGGCCCAGCCGTGTCACGCCCCCCTTGGCACACTCTCTTGCCACAGATCCGCCCTCGCCCACCGAGACTAATGCATTTCCTACTGGCACCACCAAATGGAAAAACAATTAGCAACATGATTTACATGCAACCTCCCATAACCAACAAACAAAAAAAGTGGAGAAAATGTATGAAAACTGAAATACGCTGGGCGGATGATCATTTATCAATTTTTAAGTTTTTCCACCGACTTTTCGTCAATTTTCGCTTTTTGTGGTATTTAACAAAATAATTATGAGATCAAAACAAAAAGCGCCGACGGCCGATGTCGGGTCGTAGAGTTCATTTAACACTTGCCGCAGTTGCCAAATGGCACTTTGACATCGCCCCCATTGCCAGGTCCCCCTCACCTTCTAATTTAAATGGCCAAGAGAGCTTGGAAGTTGCCGTCGGGAGTGGGGAATGGGAATGGGAGTTGTTATGTCTGCCAAGTCAAACAAGAAAATTTTCATTTAAGTGCCCACTAAAATGATTTCGAACAAAAAAAGCAAGGAAAAAAATATCGTTATAAAAATATACATATTCGGTGTGGTTGATGTTGTTGGTGTTGTTGTCTGGCCTGCGGCTGTTTATTTTCATTAATTGTTCTCATGAGGGAAAACAGCAACAAGCCACCAGCACCAGCTAGCTGTTGGCATGAAAAGTGTGACAAAGTGTTACGCATGCAAAAGACGGCGGCAAAAGATACATTTTCCTTCCAAAGCATCAGAGTCTGGTGTTGTTGTTTTTGTTTTTGCCGTTGTCCATGTTAACTTGTTGGACACTCCTGGGTAAGGGTATGGGGGTCTTGGGGTCTGGGAGGGTGGTGCATGTATCTGCTCCCGCTGTGTGAATGATGGACTTTGTTGCCGCCCGGCCATTCCATCATCTCCGTGTCGCATGCAACTTGCATGTTTTCTATCTATGTATCTGCAAGATACTTTTACTCCTCACTCAGTTGACTAATGATGGCCATCCCTTCTCCATCTCCCTCTCGTTTAAACGTTTCTCCAATTTCTTTTCATATTAATAACCAAAGAAAACAACAGCGTACGGAAAACAAAAAAAAAGCTTGCATTATTATTGTTATTATTAATTGAGAAATAAAAATACACATTTTTGGATATACCCATGCTAGCGATCCGTCAAGGTTGGGAATGCAAATCTGGCGATATACGAGTGCGGATAGCATTGCACAAGACATAAGATCTCGGGGGACAAGTAAAGACAACAATCTTGTAGTTTATTTTTGGAGCCGTTAAGTAGCCAAAGGTCGCTTGACGCGTCTCAACATTTAATCCTCAATGAGGTCTTCAATGCTAATGCTTCCAATGAAAACAACCCAGCAGCTCTGGCCAAAGCCTCGGGTTCGGGTTTGGGTTCGAGTTGGGGTCTGGGTCAGGTCCCCCCCCCAAACCCTACCGCCTGCCATCCCATCTGCAAAGCAAACAAATTGGCGCCCATCCCTCGAATTGTTAACACTCTCGGCTGCTAGGAAAAATAAAAAAGATAAAGCAGCATAGAACCGAAGAGTAACTATGGAAATGGCAGCAACCGGTTTGGCAAAACTTAATTAAAATAATATCAACATAACAATTTTTTTCATGCTTGGCGCTTTTTTCTCCGCCACACATACTTCTTCCTCATCGGGCCGTTAAATGTATCTCTCGGATATCCATCTCACTCTGGCGCACAGCCACTGCCAATATTCATTCATGGCAAGAGGTCTTGACGTGTGTTGTTGTCTGTCCTACTACACTAAAAACAAAATCAAGAAAAATGCTATGCAAAAATATGCAGAGTGAAAGAAGTCAGGGGACCCGGGCCGGAGACAAGATTTACAATATACACCCATAAAAGTAGACAGCGATGCGGACAGTGGCAATTGCCTAATGTGAACACTGGATATTCAGGCACCCGAAATACTCCGCCATCAGTCTTGAGGTGATCGTCTTAGCTAGTTGCCACTGTAGATAAGAAACTAACACAGCATCTACGGCTTGGCTTGCCGTTGTTGGTTTTTCTTTATTTTTTTTTTTATTTAAGGGAGTGTCAATTGTTAGCCAAGTTATTAAGAACCAGGGGAAGACAAAGACCGGGCCAAGAAGTCCAAAGAAGCTGAGGCAGGAGTTATGGAAGTGGAAGTGGATTCGATGCTCTCCAACCAGTTTTCAGACTTTGAGAGGTTCGAAGTATTGGATTTTTATTTCGGCCGCCCGCGGATGATTCATGTGGCAAGTCGCGCATTCACAAAAAAAAAGATACAAATCGTTGATCGACTGTAAAAATTATTGACTCGAGCGCATAATTTTATGAATGAACAGCAGACAAAAGGCACACAAGCCCAGCACGCGCTGCCTCAACACAAATGTATCTCTGTATCTCAAGCTGCGGGTGTGTTGATGTACCTCTAGGTGGCTTGTATCCGAATCTGTGGCATCCGACAGAGACTCGGTCTACTCGGCTCGGTCTTTCGAATGTAATTTCACTCGCTGCCCGTCTCGAGTGCACTTTGCCATGGAAATTATGCGTGAAATCAAATGTAAATAAAAAAGCAAAAGTGCCAAAAGCGGGACTTTTTGTGCCCCTTTCCCCTTCCAGCAGGCTCGTATCTGTCGGATACGCCGTGGCACGGTAGTTATTTTGGCGCATAGCTGCCTGTCAACACAAGTGCACTTGTAATGCAAATCAACGCGGTCAAGCCTTCGCCCCACAAAAAATATACAGCCAGCAGTATATACTTCAGACTTTGATGACGCCACATCACTGGCCAGATGGAGGGGGGCAGAAATCAAGAGACAACAAAGATAGAAGACACAGACTCTGTGCCGAAACATGTTGCAGATGGCAATCACAATTTCGGTTAGTTTATCTGTGATAAACATGCAGATAAAACCACAAAATAAATAATAAGCCATGTTTATTGGGCAGTTGTCTAAGAAATATTCGCCACTGGTCGCTGATCAGGCTCTAATTGAGACGAGTTGCATAAGTCTGCGCAGCGGATTGCGTAAGGTCACCGCCTGACCCACTTCCCGGGAGCTTCAAACCTGGCCTACGATCCATGGGAAAAGCGCCTGTTCTACTTCTCAGGGCTCAGAGCACTAAGTGCTTAATCGATCTTAATTTAATTGCTGGCACTCGTGGGCGCAGGAGGCGAAAGTCGGCGACAGTTACCAAGACAACAGTCTGTGGCAAATTAAATTGTTAAGTAATTTCACCACTTGATGACCCGGCTTACTCAGTGACTGACTGACCGACTCGTTGGTTATGCAATCGAACAGCTGTCGTGGCAAATCAATTGAAAAGCCAAGAGCATGGCATTCGCAGCATGATTTTGCATGAGTGCCTCTATGGTTACCAGCTTTTATTAAACTTGGCCAATGGCATTTTAAGACTTTATTTCTAATTAAACTGGATCAAGGTCTATCGTTATAGGACTTTCTTTTGCAAGCCTCACTAACCATTTTATTCGTTTTCTTATTTTAGGCGGCGTAGCCCCTGGAACTCCATCAGCGGCCATGATCATGGAAGGGCTTGAAACCCTGGTGGCGCCAACCCATCACGCATTCCTGCTCACCGAGTCGGCTGCGGCCGCCCACTTCAATGTGCTGAGCTTCGACACCTGTCTCTTTAAGACGAGCACGGCGGCCCAGAGCAGCGGCAGCCCGTCCACAGCGGCGGCGGCCACCTATCTGAGCCCGGCCCAGTTCGGCGGCAATCCCGGTGGCAGCACCTCCTCCGCCGCCTCATCATCCTCATCCTCGCTACTCCACTACAGCAGCGCCTCTGCCGCAGCCGCCGCTGCTGCCGCAGCCGCTGCAGCATCCGCCAACAATTCCGTTCTGCGTGCCCGTAACCAAACGGCCACGCCCACCCAGGGCGGCAGTCCCGGACACGTGGCTGTGCAGCCCAGTGCCAGTGCCACAGCCAGCAGCGGAAGGAGCTCCGCCTCGCACCTCAGCCTGTTGAACACAAGCAGCCAGCAGAGTCCCTCTTCGGTGACCGTCGAGCAGCAGGTGGAGGCCCACAAGCAGCTGATCGAGGCCCTGCCCGGCGACCTCAACACGCCGGTGACCACTTCCAGCGATATTCCATCATTTTTCGGCCCCACCACAGTGGTGGAACCACCCCCAATTACTGGTGAGTTAAAACAAGACACTAAGTTTAGATTTAAGAACTGAATTAGAGTAGATATATTTTGAATAGAATCTGAATTAAATCCCACAATTTATTTATTTGCCATTATTTTGGATTAGAGGCATATATTTGGCATTGTCAAGCTAGTTCCATAGTTCCTTTTCATAATACTCGCTATAAATCTTGGATAAAAAAGCCTCAAAACATTTATGGAGTTTGGCTTAGCTTCGGTTTCGGTGGCCAATGTCCATCGGTTGGGAACCGTGGCACCGTGGAGTAGTTTCTTTATCTGCTGCTAATGGATGCAGCTTGCTGGCCGCAGCTGCCACATGGGGCAGTGGCAACGCCGGTTGCAGTCCGCCCCAGAGACTGCAACTAATCCGTTGTCAGTCCTAAGTCTCAACATAAATCAGCCTCAGTGGAGTAGTCCGCAGAAACTGTCGTTATGTTAGCCGATATCTTGACTTACTTCCCTGCCACTTCAGCATATCTCGACTTTGTCTCTCTCTGTACTGCCACCTTCCACCTTCACCCTTTCTTTCTTTTGGGCTTTGGCCCGAATAGCAAGTTCAAAATCTTAAATAAACATTCGAAAAGATTCAAGTACCAATTTTCGAGATTTTTTTGTTTGTATTTGCCTGTCTTTGTGCTTGATTTGTTGGTTTTATTTTTGATTTCTTTTTTGTGTGTTTGTATTTTTATATTGTCTTAATAATTTCGTTGTTATTATTAAGTTATGGGGCAGTTTAAGATACATATTTCCAGCCAAAAATACCCACAAGTATTTCTTCTATGTATATTCCGTTTTTAATTTGGCCACATAAATATAAATTAATAAAAACGCTGACATCCCAATGGCTATATCAGTGTACGGACTTCTCGAAATGTATGTCAGAAATTTTGTAGAATTTTTGTTTACCTTGTTTTTGCGCTCACTTTTCATTAATGTCAAATAAAATTGAATTTTGCAATACTCGCGAGTTGCGACGCAGCGCTCTCATATTTCTAAGACTGCATAATGAAAATAATAAATAAAAAAGAGCAACAACAACGTCGCTTAATTAATCTAGAAGCAACAACAACGGCGCATGTATTAAACATTTCCGTTCAGTGTCAATGTTTCGAGCGCAATTTTCTCACTCGGGGCAGCCTCAAGATACGCGGATGCCATATCAGTCTCACATGTACATAAGTACAGACATATGGAGCTGCATTTCTAATTGAATTAAGGCAAAGCAAATAAAGTATACTAGATTTTCTGCCGCTATCAAAAACAATTGAGTTTAATTGCTCTCTCTACCCTTACCCATACCCTTACCCCCGAAAAGAAACAAAGCCATTTTCGGTCGCCGAAGCTAAGCGAGTGAATGCCAATTGAAAATGCATAAAAAGCCAATACGCATTGGTGACTAAAATATGTTTCATAAGCAAGTATCTTAGATGTAAAGAAATAGCATCGCCAGAAGCCAAAAAAATGTCACTCATAAATTCTGACCACTGCCCACGCAGTGCCAGCCAGCAAAACTTTGGCCAGCCAGCGAAAGAACAAAAATCATAGACATGGGCAATTCTCAAATGAAAATCCATTAAAACAATTTGCATGACAATGATGGAGCTGCTTTTAATCGCCAAACTTGGCAAGCTGGCCAATCTGCCGGCCATGTCTCACTCAGAGTCTAGAGATCGGAAACAGTAATATATAGACGAAGGCTCCATATTGGCCAGACTAGAGTGCGTCTCCTTTTGGGCCATAAGCTGTCATAGAAGGCAGTCAGACATATATGCATAATTTGTGGCCGTCTTCCTTTTATAATTTTTTTTTTTGTTTTGGCCACATAATTTGCCCTGACAGCATTAATGGGGCTTGCAAATATATGCGACTAAGAGAATAGAAACGCTATCGCTATAGTTTTCTGTGAATCGAAGCGCCCTTCCTCTTCTGCTGAAAACCAGATTGATGTCGCAGCACATTAGGCGCAATGCAACTCAATCAATATCCAGACCAAAGCTCAAGTCCCAGGCGGCATTAATGACGGCAATCGTGAGCAGTATAAAAAACGCGAACAGAAACAGAAAAAAAAGAAGGGAAAGATTCTCTCGGCTTGCTGGCCGCGTAATTAGTCTTCTCGCCGACACTTCTGCCTGGCCCCCAAGTGCAACTGTCTTCTGAACGGCTGGACTGGTGGACTTCTGGCACGATGAGCGATGATGCGACCTCCCGTGTCGTTCGATTTCCGCGAAATCAAAGCGCGCCCAGCTGCAGTAGCCCAATGCCAATGCCATTCAAGCGAACTGTGATTGATATCGCACCCTGCCGCAGCAGCAGCGGCAGCAGCAGCACCAGAAACTGAAGCTGCAACACCAGAAGAACAAGCCACTCTCAGGGAAAATATTAACTTTTTTGATTTCAGTAAAATAATATAAATTCAAATTAATTTTTGGGGATATTACAATAGCAAACTATAGATATTATCCACGAACTTAGATCTTTAACTAAACCCACACTTTTCTTTAATTTATGATTGCAGGATCCATTGAATCCGAGGATCTATCGTTGGAGCCCCAAGTCATTTCCGTTGGCAGTCCAGTGCTATCTCATTGCAGTCCCTTGAAGGAGGAACGTAGTACGCCACCAGCATTAGCCATTGTCAAGGAAGAATCAAGTAATAATAGTTGTAATATGTACCCCCAACACAACAACAACACAACATCATCATCAACAACAACTACAACAACAAGCAAACAGACAACAAGCGAAAGCAACAACAACACTGAAGGAGTTGGCTCTCCAGGCAACAACAATACACAATCACACCAACAGCAGCAACAACAACAGCTGCATCACAACAACAACAATAGCAGTAATGCGAATTGCCACCACAGTCACCAGCAACAACAACAACAACAGCCACACATGAGCTCCCCGCAACATCAACATCAATACCAACAACACCAAATATTACACCAACAGCAACAACAACAACAACAATTGCCACATCACCACCACCATCATCATCATCATCACCATCATCACAGTCAGCTACAACAACACCAACAACAACAACAACATCCACAACAGCAGCAACACCAACAACAACAACAACAGCCGCTACACCAGCAGCAACAACAGCAACTCCAACACCAGCAGCAACACCAACAACACTATCAACATGCCATCCAACATCAGCAGCAACAGGCTAGCAAAATCTCATATCGTGGCATTTTTACCACCACAGGCAACGCGATGAACGCCGCAGCAGCAGCAGCAGCGGCGCAACAGCAGCAGCAACAGCAGCAGCAGCTTCCCTCCCCCCAGCTGAGCGTTCTGCCCGGTCAGATGTCTCCACCCTCGAACAGTCTGGGCAACAGTTGGGGTCTGCCCAGTCCGGACAAGGCTCTCTTCCAGCCGCCCATGTTCAGTCTGCCCGCTCACTACGCCACCACCATGCAACAGCAACAACAGCAGCAGCAGCAACAACAACAACAGCAATCTGCCTCGCCCTACGACGACGGACGGGCCGCAGTAGCCGCTGCAGCCCAGCATGCTGAGCTTCTGGGCCTGACCATGGATTGCACGCCGCTCTTGCTGAAGCAACCGCCACCGACCTATGCCGGATCCACCGGATTCGCCAGCCTGGCCGAGCTGCAGAGCAGCCACGAGCAGTTGCAGCAGCAGCAGCAGTACAACAGGACAGTGCAGCCCAAGTACCAGTGGTTAGACTCCCCGGCGGACTATGCCCAGCAACAGCAACAGGTGCAACAACAACAGCAGCAACAGCAGACCCTGGTGCTGCCGGGACCCACGTCTTCGGCGAGTTCCAGCAATGCAGCTCTGGGGGTGCTCATTCCCAAGCAGGAGAGCTATCCCGACATGCAGCCCAGCTCGAATGGCACGGGATACTCTGCCGGATCCGGAGGCAGTTCCTCAGCAGCTGCCGCCGCCGCCGCAGCAGCAGCCGCTGCTGTGCAACTGGCGGAATACAGCCCATCCACCAGCAAGGGACACGAGATCCTGTCGCAGGTCTACCAGCAGAGCAGTGTGCCCCTAAAGTTGGTGCCCGTGAAGCCTAGGAAGTACCCCAACCGCCCCAGCAAGACCCCTGTGCACGAGCGACCCTACGCCTGCCCGGTGGAGAACTGCGATCGCCGGTTCTCCCGCTCCGACGAGCTCACCCGCCACATACGCATCCACACAGGTCAGAAACCGTTCCAGTGCCGGATTTGCATGAGGAGCTTCAGCCGGAGCGACCACCTGACCACCCACATTCGCACCCACACCGGCGAAAAGCCCTTCAGCTGCGACATTTGCGGCCGGAAGTTCGCCCGCTCCGACGAGAAGAAGCGGCACGCCAAGGTACACCTGAAGCAGCGCATCAAGAAGGAGAAAGTGCGTGGCGAGCAGCAACAGCAGCAGCAACACCAACAGCAGCAGCAGCTCCAGCAACAGCAGCAACACCACCACCAGCAGCAGCAACAGCATCCGCAGTACCAGCACTCCCATCACCACCTCCTTCAGGCCGCCGATCTGGCCATTGGGACGTCGAGTGCGAGCATGTAGAGACTACAGAATTCAGCATCCGCCGAGGACAAGGCCAAGGGCAAGATTCGCAAGATGAACCTCGCCCTGGCCTTGGACCTCGACGAGAGCGCCTTTCCCTTCGAGCTGACCTCCGACTACGGCACCCTCTCGCCCCTGACCAGCCCCGTGCCGTTCAACTACGTGCTGGTGGGCCAGGACTCCAGCCAGCCCTTCTTCTACAAGGACAGGTCCCCGGACAATTGAGGGGTATCCGGCAAGGAAGGGAAACTGATGCAACTGATCAATCGCCGATGCTGAATAATCATTTAGAGTATACCGATAGTCGTAAAACGGAGTTGTGCTACCAGCTACCAGCAAAAAAAATAGAAGCAAAATCTATGCAAGACATTAAATCGTAAAGAAGCAACACAATATGCTACAATTAGCCTAGTTAATATCTCGAACACACAACTTACTAAATGGAGGGTTTAGCAAGAAGCACGCAGAGCAAAGCAAAGCAAAACAAAGTTACTAACCATACAAAGCCTAACTAAAGCAAGTTGATCAATAATAATATTATTCGATAGTTATGAAATGGGAAAATATTTAACTTATGTCTCTAATACTGTGATCTCATGTGTAATAATTATTAATTTTAATTTCTTTACATAACTACAAATAACCAGAAACCAGAAATAATTTTAAAAATTATAATCCTTTCGCCTTTGCCTAGCTAATGTTCATTTTTAAAAAATGCTAACACAAGCACACACACACGCACACACACTAATTTATTGCATTTTAAAATATTTATACAAATCTATTATAATCTATTATAATTATTAACTTATTGTCTTAAAGGTTTAGAGTTAGGTTTTAACATGCAGCAGTACTCGAGCAGTACACTGCAGCAGAACACACAAATCTTAGCATATCATTTTTTCCTCTAAGCATTATGAATTGCATAAGTTACAAAACAAAAGATTAATTTTAATCCGAAAAACGGAAATGGAATATTCGTGTGCTAATTAGAAACGAAGAGGAAATCGTCTCGCCAAGTGAAAACTTAAAATTGATAAACGCCCCTTGTACTTCCTTAATTGATTCGAAATCAAAACGGAATAATAACATTTAGTTTTATTTCATTAAAATAAGTTTATGTTCAATCTACTGTAGAAACTTATTTCTCCTTAGTTTTTAAATCGATTTAAGTTTAATTTTTACATTATTAGTCCGTTATTTTACTTCTGAAAATACATAACAATTTTTAAAAAACATTTCTTTTGGGTTATTTTTATTTGTTTTCACTCCCAAACACTGGAATATTAAGGTGCAAGCTAAGGAATGGTTTCGGATGCGCAGATCGTGGCAATAAGGATCGCAAAAAAGTGGGTTTCGTGTTAGACAATAGGAACAATCTCGAACCTCACTCAGTGCGGGAAAGGACCTGCTCTCTCTTCTAAACTTTTCTACTATTTCCCAAGACCCATTAGCCCCAGCTATATATATTTTCATATGGCTATGTATACCCAAACACTGTATACCCAAAATATATGTAAAGTCTAAGAATATTTAAAACTAGTAATCGTATATGATGTTCAGCTTATTCTGAATGAGTCTGGCGCCTCACAAATTATAGCCTAACGAACTTGAATCGAAGTAGAAAGTGTAGGAAACTCACGAATAAACAAAAATGTTATTTAAATGGAACTCTTGTGCCACTTGACAGATATATTTGTTGATGTATACAGAAAGAAAGATACCTAGATATATACAGAGAGAGCAACGAAAATGATGATTGCTTCAAAAATGTTTTAAATTCAAATCTATTTTATGGCAAAATAATGAATGATATATTTTGCATAGCCGCTAAAATCAGACACAAATTAGCATTAGGATGGAAAAAGGTTAAATCTTGAAAAAATAGAGTTAGGAAAAGGGCGGTGCCAAGAAAAATTAAAAATAGAAGCACTTCCCGCATTCAAAATGAAGCTACATTAATGTTTATATTTGTATTGAAAATTTGTCATTTCTTAGCTAGAGTAAGTCACAAAGTATCCAAAATACAAAGGAGGATGTGAAACTTATGTGCCATCGGAAATAACGAAGCTTATTAAAAAAAAAAACAAAAAACATAGAAGATGAATAATTATATTTAAAGAAGCGATTTTGAAATTTTAAACGTTGTGATTTATATTGTTCACTTGATGCATGGTTCAGTGTTAATAATTATTAATAAATACTAATCAGAAGGCAGAAACCCCATAGTCAGGCCGACTAACTCTTAGGTGTATTTAATGTGTACATATGTAGATGTGTTTATAACTCAAGTTGCTTATGGACAGTTTTTCTTCCATACATACAATACCTTTATGGATATAGCATTCATTCGAATAAATGTATTTTATTGATGCATTCTTAGCTAGACAACAATTATTCGTAGCTAAGCATATTAAAGCCAGACAAGAGACAATTTAATGCTCAAAGGTGAAGCTTGCAGTGTGTTTTTTGTAGATGTTGCATTGCAGAAGATATGTATTTTACTTGTGCGTTCAATGCGTAGGCAAATTATCGATTCTTAATGTTTTTGTGTGCACATTATGTACTTAATTACCTTCTAACAGATACTCTAAGTAACCTCTCAATTCGTAAGCTCTAGTTTCAAAGACTGTCTTTGTGTTTAGATCGCTAAGTCTGTCGAATCGGTTCTATCATCCCGAGGGGGAGGCCTGGGCCTCTCCCGCACTATATCAGTTCTTTGCTACAAGTTTAACATCTAACATATATCCCTAACTATAAGTTTGTATTTTATGTCAATGTAAACTAACAATATTCGAATTACGTATTATACACATAACTATAATTGAATAATATGCAAATTTGGCAACCACTTTTTGAACAAATTAAAGAAACAAAATTTAAAATTCAACATTCAACTGTCTTTTCACTCAATATCGCTCGCATTCCCTGCGAATTGGTTTCGTTCTGGCCATATAAATTAGTTAGGCATTCGTTTCAATAAGCCATATCGTGGCCATATATAGCGAAATGCAGCCCCAATAAAAAGCGCAATAAAATTGAAAATAATAGCCAAAGCGGAGCGTCTGACGACGACACGGACGATATATGCCAGCACTCAAAACTAATGAAATGTTCCAAACTCTAAAGCGATTGCAGCCTGGTGGCAAGAGCGCCAAAGCGCGCCACGAAAGTCGATTGACCAGAAACGCTTCGCTCCAACAATTCGCCGGTCATCTCACCTGGCCCGCCTGGCCCACCTGTTCGGACGGAAGAGTCCGGGCAACCGACTGGGCTGCCAGGAGCGACAGGCGCATGTCGGGCCTAAAATTCTTCAGTTTTCTGCTTGCCAAAGACGAGCAGCCAATGTCGGGGACTTGGCCAAAGTTATGAGCGCAATTCTCTCGTAAAAATGCAAAAAGGAAAGGTACCTGAATCTTGGTTAGATGACTATAGGATGCTCTGAATTGTTAGATTCAACTAAATACCTCAACATTTTAAATATTAAATAGAGCCTCAACTTTTGTGTGTTTTATTTCATTTTAAACAAATTCTACAAAAAATCCTTATAGAAATCCCAGAGCCTTTATACCTATTTATTAAAAGAAACCCTTTGTAAAGTAAACCTTCCTAAGAAACCTGAAAAAATGTGGTTCCCCCAAGCTAGTAGGGCACTGAAATGCAAAATGCTTTCACGGCTGCATCTTCCACGTCTTCGGCCACTTCGGACTGCCCGACTGACTGCTTAGGTTTGAAACTAGAAATTCTTGTCTGCGCAGCAATCATTATCGAACAAGAGCGGCAGGAGGAGATGGAGTTGAGGAAGGAGCTAGAGCTGAAGCTGGAGGTTCGGCTTGTGATTTGTGTGCTTGCGGTACAATTTGAGCCGCGAGCTGTGGCTACCAATGGCCAGTTGTTACCCGGGCCCAGTTGTTCGACTTATGACAGGCGCAAACAAAATTATTCCGAATCCAGACCAAGCCGAGAGCAGTAATCCCAGGGCACCAATGCCACATGGAGCCTCAGCGGCAGGTGATGAACTGTCGGCAATCGGCAGTCCGAGGAGGCACATGTGTAGTTGTCGTCTTAAGTGCGCCTACTTGACATGTTTAGGTGTTTAGATGGCATGCCCGATATGGTCCAAATTGATTTCGATTTGATAAGCTGCCACATTTCATCTTAGCCATTCGGTAGCTTCAATATATGGTCACCAATGTGGCTTATCGCCCAGTGGCCAAGATACCGGCCGAAGCAGACGACAATATTGTGAGAGTCATGAGATTGCGGCGGAGGTGGGGGCGCAACCGAATGGGGAAGTGGAAGTGGACCAGCTATCTGCCAGCGAGGTGTCGCTGAACAGTCACTCAGCGACCAAAAGCAATACCAAAACCAAAAGCAACAACCGGCAACATCAACTATCGAAACCGGACTCGTTTGTATTTTTATTTTTACTCTTTCGAGCCACAAAAAGGACCAGAGGAATGTCATGCAGCCAATCTCTGTACTGCCTCAGCATAATATCTTTGCTTAACTGCTAATGAGTTGCCGTTAGTGATTTATTTCGTAAATAAATAGAATTGCCAGCAGTTAAACCAAGTTCAACTTTGCATGCGGCATGCAACACACGGCCCAGACACGAGCTCTCCTCCTGACACACTGAATCCGATGAAAAGCAAAATTTCCATGGCTTTGGCCAAACGAATCTTTTCCCCAGCAATTCTTAGCCAAATGTCATAATATTTTATGAGTTTAATGAAGAACCATGCCAGCATCCGTATTAGATACATTCCTGCTTTTGAAAACCTGAAAAAGTTACTCCCAGACCCTTGATTTTGGGGCGCGCCCTTTGGGAGATAGGCCACCCTAAGGTCGAAGGCCCCCAGTGGTCGGTAGCGAAGTGCTATTAATAAACCCGGCCATATCGCACTGTCTGCGACATTTGACTAATTGAAAAGCCCTGATATATTATGGTCGAATCAGCGAAAGTTGGCAGGGAGCTGCGCGGAGGAAGTGCATCTGGCCTAATCAAAACTAATTCATCATGGCTGCTGCCGATGCATTAGCAGCCTCTCTGGCATAAGGGCACCCGGCACCGGCCACCAGACACCAGGCACTGGGGGCACCATCTTCGCCAGCTGCAGCTACCTGGAGCCGAAAGTATTCTCCGGTTTGCATATCTATGGCCACATATTTCATCGTCGTCGTTGTCATCGGTCGTTGTCTCTTCCGCGACTCCAGAGACTGGGACTTGTGTCGTCGGACGATGCACAGAAGCTTTCTTGGCCATAAAGAAACTAGATCAATTTAATTTGTTTTCGTTTTTGGTTCTTATTTTTCTTCTCTATACACACACATACTGTGGCACATGCATTTTTGAGCCAACTCGGTTCTCCAGCGGGTTCTCCCGGCGACTGGGCTCGATCCACTTTGGAGACACTTTGCGGAAGCGTGCCACTTTGTCACAGAGCATTGTGCCGCGGGCGTTTTGCATTTGGCCAAAGGCGCCGCTGGACACTCGATACTGGACCAGTGGACCACTGGATCCGAGAGCTGGAACCGCCCAAATAGAGTTGGCAAGTCTATAACAAGCCAAGTATTGAGTTTTAAAGGACTTTATACCTCTTCTTTCTTTAAAATCTCTATAAGAAAGTGGTACAATATCCAAAGTTCTAGTCTAAAAGATAGCTAGAAAATGGCTAGATGGTCAATCCCAGGCAGCACTGCGATCTTTGGAATTCCTAATTAATGCATTGGCCGTTCCTTGGGGTCCCGCCTGGCTTATCAGTGTTTGTAATTAGCGCATTTGCATTAAAAATAGCAATAATTTCCCATAAAAGAAATGCCCAACATCGTTGTACATATATATTAGTGCATTCTTCTTCGATCTTCTCTATTTTTATTTCACATCGTCGTCCAGGAGTTTATTCTCCTTTGGGTAATTATTGCAAAGTGACAGGAAGTGGCACAGAATTAAAATCGAGGCATTAAATAGATAGCTGACATATCGCCAGTCGCGTCGCAGACATCAATTAAATTTGTCTATGAGTTCAGCCTTCTGCTTACTGGAGGAGAAGTCACTCCCCACAGTTCTCCAGGCAATTACCAATACCTGCCGTGCAATTTTCTGGAATTAGAGATGGCCTATAAGGCAAGTACCGCTTAAAGAACTTAAACTGCTAAATT